ACATATCATCCACATACAATAACAGATAAATGGATTCGGGTCCACCTGACCCTTTGAAAAACAAACAGGAGTCATAGTTGCTTTTTTCAAAACCCAAGGTCTGAACATAAGAGTTGAATTTTATATACCACTGTCTGGGGGCCTGTTTTAGCCCATAAAGAGACTTTTTCAGCGGATAAACCTTTCCTGTCTTAGATTGAACTTCATAACCCTCAGGTTGATTCATGTATATAATTTCATCAAGGTCACCATAAAGGAAGACTGTTTTGACATCTAGTTGTTCCAGTTCCCAATCAAAATGGATAGTTAAAGTCAATAAAATTCTGATTGAAGTGTATTTGGCAATTGGTGAAAAAATCTTATTAAAGTTTACTCCTTCCTTTTGTGTGAAACTTTTTACCACTAATCTTGTCTTATATCTTCTATTTTCTGTTTTAGAGTCTCCTTCTTTAATTATAAAAATCCATTTGCAGTCAACTACTTTTTTATCTTTGGCTCTGTTGACTGGAACCCATGTTTTGTTTTTTATTAGAGAATCCATTTCCTCCTTCATGGCTTTCTTCCAAAGCTTAGAATCAGGATAATTTATTGCTTCTTCAAAACTGTTGGGTTCAGAGTTTAAGGAGTCTAAAACAGAAAATAAAGTAACAAAGTCATCATTTCTAAATCTAGTTGAATGTATTATATTCATTCTTTCTCTGTCTCTAGTGAGTTGATAATCAGCAAGTGTTGGGTTTATAAATTCAGTCTCAGATTCAGAATCATTTTGATTTAAGTCATTATTTGATTCAGTAGACTCCACCTTAATCAAATCATTTTAATCTTCAATGGTTTTAGATTGATTTTCCACAACAGTTTCCCTCATTAATACAGGTTCTTCAGGTTTTGAGGTTGTGGAACTATTACAGGGAAATATATCTTCATTGAAGATAACATTTATGCTAACTATAACCTTGAAGTCAATTTGTTCTTTAACCCACAGCCTATAACCTTTTGTCTCCTCTCCATACCCTAGAAAAACACACATTTCAATGATCTAGGCTCTAATTTTCCTTCATTCTGATGAGAGTATACTGCACAACCAAAAACTTTAAGTTTGCTATAGTCTGGCATTGTTCCTGACCACAATTTTTTAGGAATATTGAAATCAATAGCACTAGATGGACTTCTATTTATTAAATAAGTTGCAGTTTTTAAAGCTTTACCCCAAAACAGTCTTGGAAGACCAGAACTGTGAAGCATACACCTGACTCTTTCCAATAAAGTCTTATTCATCCTCTCAACCACACCATTTTGCTGAGGAGTGTAAGTCACAGTTCTGTGTCTCAAAATTCCAAATTCTTTACAAAAAGAATTAAATTCATAATTACAAAACCCAAGTTCATTATCTGTTCTTAGTGCTTTGATTTTCTTATTTGTCTGATTTTCAATCATTAATTTCCAATGTTTGAAATTTTGAAAGGTGCCAGACTTTTGTTTTAAAAGGAATGTCCATATTTTTCTTGAAAAATGATTTACAATTAGTAGATAAAACCTAAATCCACTTAGAGTATTTACAATGGCTAGTCTCCAAAGGTCAGCATGTAAGTAGTCTAAGATGGGGTAGATTTGTGAAGACCAGTTTTAAAAAGGTATTTTAGTTTGTTTTCCAATTATGCAGTCTTCACAAAAATCCAACTTATTAATGTTATCATTTCCAAAACATTCAAGTTTATTTAAAGAAATTAACCCTTTTTCAGAAATGTGGCCAAGCCTTCTATGCCAGATTAAGGATTTTGTTAAAGTAGAGTTTAGGGCTATGGCACTGTGGGCACTGTGACCTACTAAAGGTTCAGCACAAATGGTATAAATCCCATTTATCTTAGAAGAGGAGATTATATTTTTATTACTAAGGTTCAGGCTGAGAATACCCTTATGTATCACAATGTTATAGTTGTTATCTAGTTCTCCTAAGGAGATTAAGTTTCTTTTGAGTTTAGGGACATATCTCGTATTGGTTAACTCAAGAATACAATTATTTCTGAGCATTAATTTCAACTTTCCAATACCCTTTATTTGACAACTCATGTCATTCCCCATTTGGATCTTTCCCCCATCAAATTCAACAAATTCACAGAACCAATCTTTAATGGGGCACATGTGGAAGGTACAACCAGGATCAAGGACCCATTCTTTTGGATCCCTTCTAGTTGCAGTGACAAGGACAACCCCTTGAATGTCAGGGTCATGGTTGCAAACAATTGCTGCAGAGCCATCAGTATTATTATTTCCCTTTAAATCATAGATTTTCTTAAAGCAGTTTTTATAAGGTGTCCTGTTTTTTCCACAATAATAGCACTTCCTGGCTTGATTCTTATTTTTCAGTTGATTCTTATTTTTGTCTTTAAATTTCTGATTCACATATTTTCCTTTCTTAGAGGAGATAAAATTGCACTGATTTAGCTTCTTACCACGAAGGTGTTTTTCTTTAATATGCAGACCCTCACTACCCTTGGAATGATTTATATCAATTTGTTACTCTAGGTCTTTGTTTCTTAGAGCAGTGATTATGATGTCGATAGTAAGGTCCTTTCTCCCATATTCTAAAGCATTCCTAACATCCCTATATTTCTCACCTAGAGAATTTAACAGACCAACGACTTGTTGTTGATCAGAAAGCTCTTCATCACAATTGGCTAAATCTTGAGTTAATTTTGTATATTTGTCAATATTATCTTCTAGACTGCTAGAGAGGTCAAACCTAAAGTTATAAAACTGTCTTAGGAGGTAGCATTTATAAGGCATAGTTTTGGTTAAGTATAGACTTTCCAATTTTGTCCACATTGCCTCAGTAGTAGTACTTTTACCTACCTTTCTAATTACATTATCAGATAAGTGTAGAAAGATGGTAATCCAAGCAATCTCAGTTAACTCTTGTCTCCTATAGGCACTAATTTCAGCAGCCCAGGTGCCATCAATGGCACCTACACATCTCTGTTGAACTAACAGAGCTCTTATTTTCTAGCGCCAGAGACTGAAGTCTCCAGTACCATTCCAGGTTTCAACATCAAATTTTTGAGAAGTTGACATATTGACAAAGTATTTTCAATATGTATGTATGTATGTATGTATGTTCAATATGCAGGATTTAACAGCCTAAGGGGTGGTAATCATTAATTCCAATACTCCCTCAGATTCCGAGATCCTCTTAAGGGATCTAGACAAAGGAAAGTATTGGTAGATTACTTACATTAATGACCGGTTCCAATTTATTTAGGGTTATAGTAACAGAACGTTAGTGAGGTTTAAAGAAAATACCAGATTCTGAAAATGTTGATTTCAGAATAAAAAATCAACTAGAAGGTATCAATAATTGAATCAGAAAGTCAAACCATGCATAGGAACCCTCCGAGTTATTGTGACTCAGTATGAACTCAGCAGTGTGTCAGAAACTCGGTATGTACTCAGGTTGAGTCAACTCAACTCGCCAAATTCAGTATGAGTTGAACCAAATATGCAGAAAAACAGCTGATCAAACAAGTCAGTACCAAAAATAGGAGATATTGAAACAAAAACTCAAGAAGTAATAGTTCACTGTTGGATCTTGCAAGATCTACAAGTTTACAAAAAACCAAATTTTCAAAAAATACAAAATACCTTCAGATCTTGCAGATCAATGAAAAAACTTTTCAAATAAAAACAGAAAGTTTTAAAAGGTGGCTCTGATACCACTTGTTGGTCCCAGAGATACAATAAACTCGTATTTTTTTGAAAGTTTACGGATCAAAAACGCAGAAAATTAAAAACAATAAATAAAGAACACCATATATATTTTTGCTCCAAGGGAGCCCGGATGTTCAGTCCAGAAGAACGTAATCACCCGTTGAGCCTCAATCAAAAGTATGCTCAAAATTCACTAAGTTTCACAAAGAAATCGTACAAATGTTCGAAGAAATCAGAGATTTCTTCGATCTATCTAGCCTCTTTTCTTATTACAAAATTCCTCTCAAATGATCACTTAGATGATTACTACTTTCCTTTCTAACAGAAGAGGAAAATACATCACAAAGATAGAAAAGATAAGAAAAGAAAAAATAATTTATATTTGGAGTAGTAAAATTCATATTTGGAGTAGTAAAATTAAGTGTTAAAGAAGTTGTTGGACCATTTAAAAATTTTCACTCTTTAAATTTATAAATGCTTTGTAAATTGTAAAATATGCTCTTTAAACATATATAAAGATTTAACATTCTATAGAGATGCTCTAAAAGAAAGTGCTCTCTCCACTAATATCATTTATATATATTTTATTTTTGTCTCAAAAACTTTGTAAAACTTTAATTTAAGACCAATGGCTCTAATTATTTCTGAAAAATTTTAAAATTTCTTGTCTCAAGATTTTTGCTATTAGACTCAAAGAAAGCGTTTTTCTCTTGAATAAAATATATTTCTCATGGAGTATGTATACATGAATATATGAACTCTTGCAATTGTATAAATTCAAGATTTTTCTTCTCAATTCAACAGAAATTACTATTTTCTACTAATGTTAAATGTATCATTTTTAACGTTATCACTTCTGAATTTTGATATTATTCGTCTTAACAAGGCCAATCTCTTAAAATGAAATCCAAGACTCAAAATGATATTAGAGCTAACAAATTCAAACGATTCATTTATGACTAAAATGAACAATTAGATTCTAAAATTAATGTTCTCATGGGTCATTGCATCTTGAGGGACATATTAAGAACAAAATAACACGTTAGTTAAGAAAAACCACGCAGAAGGGCATAGAATTCCATCTTAATAGGTAAACCTAAACTATTGTGCATCAATATTAACAACTTTAATCTATGTAGGATTTTAATTTTCCAATCACAAGTTTAAATATCCAAAGTTTTGTCAAAGGGCTTGTTTTGGTAGTGATTTTGAAAATTGATTTTTTGATCGTTAGAGAAAAAAGTGGATCTTACCTATGAAAGAAGAAGTAAAAAATGATAGATGAAATAATGAAATAATGGTTTGAAAAATTGATTTTTTGGAGAAAAAATCAATACCACACGTGCACTAAATAACAAAGTACATTAGAGAATCTGTTGTCCCACTTAGAATAGTAAATGGAGTGCATTGCACCAAGACCAAATAATCACAATTGTGGGAACTAACTAATACCTAGTAAATGACACAAAGATGCTCAAATATAACAAGGAAAGCAACAGAAGGTAGTGGAAAAGAGAGATTGTTGGGATGATTGATGAATTTTGATCATTGATTTCCAAAGAATCAACGGCTAGGGGCATGCCATCACTGTTAAGAAAGCAAAACTGTGGATCAGAAGCATCTAGAGTGGTCGTCATGAGAGCACGAAGAACAGCAGAAACCGTATGTATGTAAGAAGTTCGGTTCTTGTTAAGAAGCCACGTCAGACCCATAAGCTCACAATCTCGCTTCTGCATTTTGCTTGTTCTCTCGTCGGATTTGTTTGTACGACCAGCTTTATCCTCTTTGAGCTGCATAAATGAATCAGATGATTTAGAAGCCATGGGATAACACTACTTAACTGATAGCCAGAGCCTAAAATACTTCAAAAACTACGTAGGCGTTTCCTAATATTCTAACAACTTTCATAGTTTCAGAAAGTAAAAAAATGTTTCAACCATACGAATGTAAATAAATAAAAGAACGCCAAATGTAAAAGCTAGAACGAGCATGCTCGTACCCCTGGGGCATAATCCGGTGGTGCAAAGGATAAGAGTGAGGTAGTTTAACCTTGTTGACAGCCGCAATGTGATGGTTCGATTCCTGATATATGAAATTGAACTCTTTGTGCCCACCAGTGTACGAGCAAACTCTTGTTCCCTAACATGTTGGGGTACATCCCGCGATTTACTTCCCTCACGATGCTCTAGGGACGTGACCGTGGGGGCTCTCAAAGTTGAAGTTCAACCTTTTTTTTTTTTTTTTTTTTTTAAGAATGAGCATGCTCGTAATGTGAACATCCTAGACCTAGACACGGTAAGGCTCAGTTTGGCCCCAATTAATTTTTATTTCATTACATTTTATTTTTCTCTCTCTTATTTTCAACTACACGATCTTCCATGAAATAATATTTCATGTAAACCGAAATATTTTCCTTCTTTTTCTACCACTCATTTTTTAAAAAATATATATTATTCCACCCATTTTCATTTCCACAAAATGGGGGTCAAATGGAGGCTAAATTCATTATGTGTGCATTATTATGCTTGAAAGGGTGGCTTTAGTGCATGTTTAGTACAAAGTGCTCGACATGAATAGATAATATCCTAGTATTGTCAGTTCAATCGTGCCTATCAAACATGCTAAGGAGAGGAGAATTGCAAGCCTGTGAAGGAAGTTGATATTCAAGGCAAATGGAGTCAGCACTATAATTTTCCATGTTTGGTACCGTTAAAAAATATGATTAAAATCGAAAATTAGTTTTAACAACATGATTTTTCAACCATACATTTCATTAATTATTATCAAAATTTATTAAAAATCTCTATCCAACAAGTGCACTTCATTATCAATTCATATCCCGAAAGTAACTTGGTCCTGACTTCTGGAAACGTGTGGCGATGACTCGCTTCCTATCCATTTTAATTGAGACTAGGAAACACTATAAAAGAGCGAAGAATTCACTTTCCCAAAATATAAACCCTACTCGATCCCAATCTTTCTTCATACACGATTGATAATGTACTGAATATCATTGTGATTCACTAACAAAAATGAACAGAAAAAACGAAAGAGTTGGAAAGTTTGTACCGAATGAAGACTTTTCAAGCATTTGGAGCAGCCAGCGAGCCCGGCGTACCCATTAATCCTATTACTCAAGCAATCCTTCTCCAATTTCTTCACATTCTCATTACCCGCCAATTTACCGAGCGAATTCACATAAAACGCTTCTGGGCAGACGAATGGATGCAATCTAATGCCACAATAACAGTACACTACATCACAAGTCTGATTAGGCTTCGTCAATTGCATGCCTCTGCTTCCCAAAGCCTTTTCAAGAGTGTCGACACAGGTCTCGGAGTCATCGGGCAGGAGCGGCATGTCGTACGACTCTGTTTGTGGCGGGGATTTTGCTACGTACGCTTGTAATGCGGAGCTCGAATAGGCGGAGTAGAGCCATGCCGCGAGAACCGGGCAGCAGCGAGTCCGATAGAGCTGATCAGGGTCGTGTCCATGGTGAGTATTTGAGCCACAAGCGGATTTTACGCCCTGGAAGAGCTGTTCAGGGAGATCCAATGGGCAGCCAGAGATGTCTGATTGTTCTGGGAAGGCCGGGATGGTCGCAATTTCTTCACATTCTCATTACCCGCCAATTTACCGAGCGAATTCACATAAAACGCTTCTGGGCAGACGAATGGATGCAATCTAATGCCACAATAACAGTACACTACATCACAAGTCTGATTAGGCTTCGTCAATTGCATGCCTCTGCTTCCCAAAGCCTTTTCAAGAGTGTCGACACAGGTCTCGGAGTCATCGGGCAGGAGCGGCATGTCGTACGACTCTGTTTGTGGCGGGGATTTTGCTACGTACGCTTGTAATGCGGAGCTCGAATAGGCGGAGTAGAGCCATGCCGCGAGAACCGGGCAGCAGCGAGTCCGATAGAGCTGATCAGGGTCGTGTCCATGGTGAGTATTTGAGCCACAAGCGGATTTTACGCCCTGGAAGAGCTGTTCAGGGAGATCCAATGGGCAGCCAGAGATGTCTGATTGTTCTGGGAAGGCCGGGATGGTCGCCGGCAGTGAAGTGACCGGTAGAACTGTCTCGGTTTGGACCGGGTTGGGTAAGGCGAACAATGCAGTTATATGGAAGGTGATGACGAGAAAAATGACGAAGACTGACATAGCTTTGAGATTCAAAAAAAAAATTCAGTGTTCTATGTCACTGCGGTTTTTCCTTGAATAAAGGCAGTGTTGGGGAAGATGAAATGGAAATGACAGGCTAATGTCGGGTCCAGGAGTCGGATAAAGTTTGGCTGCTTCTTGTTGCTACTCTACGCTAGATCTAAAATTACGTCTAAGCTGCTTGAGTCGAGATTTGCTGTCTTGAATTTTTATTCTCTCTCAATTACTATTTTATTAATTTTTGACACTGTAGTTTGCTAAAAAGAACATATTATCTCAAATAGTAGGGTAAAAAATTTAGGTATTATACTATCTGTATAAAATGTGTTTACAAATTTGGTTGGCAAAAATTCATACCATTGATTTTTCATTATTTAAAAATTTATTTTTGAAATGATTGGGGTAGATATTACTTTGTCAATCAATTTGTAAACTAACTTTGATCATATAGACTATATCACAACTCAAAAAATTTCGGTTAACCTCGTAGAGCATGTTTGACTTTGCTTTTTATTTTTTTTCTTATTTTAACCAAAAATAGTCTTTTATTTTTTTTTTAACGGTCCAAAGAAGCATCTCGGCTAAGCCAAAAATGCTCTTAATGACACGATTAGTGGTAAATTGTTTATGAAAATCAATGATTCTTAAGCAATAGCTATACAGTTGTGCTACTTGTACAGATCCTTTTGCACATGACCTATACGAGGGATCTCAGGCCTGTGCAAACGGGCCTATGCAGGGAGCTTTATTCATAGCTATAAGTTGACGACAGACTCACTGAAAACCTTGCTCTTTGGATAGGGCCAAAAACAGGGGCACCATGTGACGTCCCCTATTGGGGGTTGTTTAAGCTTTTTTGACTGATTTTTACCATTCATGTACTCATAATTAATACTGGCTAGCCCCAATTAAATAAGTCAAACTGTACTATAAGTGTCAGAGATTAAAAAAATAAAAATAAATAAATAATTTTTTTTACATACTTTTGTGTTTAAAATTACATAGAAAATGCCTGCTCATAAAATTTAAAAAAAAAAAATACTTTAAATACAGGGTCCGCCTCTTCTTCAGTCTACCCAGCAGCAAATATGGTTACAGGATTTTTAGATAGATTTGGTGAATTGTCCGGTTTTTTATTATAAAACAGGCGTAAACTTACATATCTAATTTATTTTTTTCTATAAAACTTTATGCACACAAATTTTATAAATGAAGACCGACAACTTTACATTATTTTTTTTTATTGTAATTGTGCATTACTCTACATGGAATTTGAGCTTTTATCTTTATATTGTTAATAATGGTCCAATTCAACTTATGAAATATGTTATTAAATTAATTATTAGTCAGTGAAACAAATGTGACAGCTAGATATTAATTTGACATTTTCGATCATAGTAGTACATTAGACATTGGTTGAGATAAAAGGTTTTCTTCAATATTTTTTATAAAAATTTGAAATTTCTCATATATTTGCAAGTTATGAATTTCATTATTGTATTTTCGTATCTCATTTAGTAGTAATTTGAAGAGTTAAGTCCGTATTTCTCGTGTTCTAACCTACTCCACACCATATTTCTACCCTAAATATGCATTTCAATGCACAAGTTTGTTCTTCAATAAAACCACTTTCATTAATTTAATAGTTGCAAACAAGAAAATAAACTTAAAATCTTAGTTGTAGATTAGAAGCCTGTTCGATTTAGCTAAAAAAATACGATGAAAATTCATTTAAAGTCAATAATTTATTTTAATTATGTATTTCATTAAATTCACAATTTTTATCGACTTATCAATCACATGTTACACCAACTATGATTTCATTAACTGATAGTGGGTAAAATGACGTGACTTTTAAAAACAGCTCATGTGCCCGTTCTCGCTGCCATAAATTGTCTTTTTCCTTCTATTCCAAATATTCATATACCCTTCTCACGAATGACATTCACGAGATGGAGATGAGGACCTGCAGAGTTAATTATACGAATGGTCTCTGAATTTCAAGTGAAATTTCAAATTTGTCTTGAAAGGTAAATTATATTCGCAGTATATAAAAATATGTTATACTACATTTTAATTGTAATGAAGTTTTTCAATCCTCACTCATTGCACATACGCCTCAAAAAAATTCTGTATCTCATTCTTATTAACAACTTTTCGTTAATTAATAAAGTTTATCTCTAGTAACGATTTCTGACAAAAAAAAAAATCCATTGTGGTGACATAAAAATCTCGTTTTCTTCTCATATTTTAACAAGCAAAAAACCAACAAATTTGACAATATATTTTTTCCATCATTTCAAAGCACACCGCAAAATATTTGGATGATAATCATCATTAGGGACAAAATGTGCTAATTAATTGAAGATTAATGATAAGAATGTGATATAATTGGTCACTTTTATTAGCGACATTCAATCTAGATTTGACATGGCTGATGTCAACTAAAGATCGTTGTCTTCGAAATAAAACACAATCCTTGAAGGAAAAAACTTGATGGATCCTACTTTTTTTATTATTATTTTATTTTATCTCACACTGTATCCTTCATAATTTAAAAAAAATAATAATAATAATAATAAAAGGAAGGATCGCAACAATGGTGAAACATAAGGCCACAGTTGGAAGGAATCAGTTGCTTTAACTGTTATTAGTCCACGTCAAGGTTTAATGACCGCTACATCAGCATCAGTAACAAAGTTTTTAAATATGTATCAGTGCTGTCGGTGATTAAATGGGTCACAAAAATACTTTCAAAGATATATTTGAAATTATCTTAAACTTTAATGGCCAATTGTGAAATTAAACTCATTGAAAGCAACAAAACAGCATCCACACGTTGCACCTCAAAGACATTTCTCGTGCATGGGATGGACCACAATAACTCAGGGTCTGTTTGATTGTAAGAATGAAATTTGGGTGAAAAAAAAATGAATTCCAGATAATTGAATTGTCTAGAATTTGTTTTACTGAGAATCGTCAATTAAATGTGTTTGATAAATATAATTTTTTACCCAGAAGATGTCAAAATTTTGAATTTTTTAGTGTTCGTTTGACTTTGTTTTCTAGTAAAATTGTCAATTAAAGAAATATATATATAAAGAACTGGAAACCCAATTTCCAGTTTTCCACCAAAACTATGAGAATTGATTTTCCACAAAACCAAAGAAAATCACTCACGTGAGGAAGAAGGGGGGGGAGTAACAAATTGCCGAGAAAGTTTTAACAATCAAACACCGAAAAATGTGGAAAATGGAACAAATCAAATAGGGCCAAAGTTTTCATTGTCACACCAATATCAGATATTTTGAGTTGATAATGTTGAATGAGCGTCACGTTACGTTCATCTCCAACCTCATCTAGATTCTAAAAAGCTTAATTAACTTTCATACCAAGCTTGAAGGAGAAACCTAGCCACCTTAATGAATCCTATTTGTGCCCAAGCATTCTCATAGGACGGGGAGCCCGACAAATCACCCAATCCTCTCGTAGCGATGGGCGATCCCGAACCTAAAGAATTTGCAAATTTTGTGTTACAAATAATATCACGACACGGACGATTGTACCACAACCCAACCACCAATTGCCCATGCATCCTCGCTTGCCAAAATCATTTCATTACTTCATAGTATAATCACTAACTTTTAATAATTCTGTATAACTCAAGTCAATGTGACAACATTTAATAGATCCAAATGTGTCATACATTATTGTATGTTAATGAATCTATTTGCTAGCGGGAATAGATAGCGTGACTCTTTAATTAAGCCTCTTAAGTAAATTTTCATTAACAATACATTGCACGTACAATCTTGATATTTGACTATGTTTCGATAACAACAGACATTTAGATCTTCAAAGATGACATATTTGAAAGTTATTCATGTAGAGTAGACATATGGTGACCAAATTACAAAAATATTTGTGAAACTTGATTTCAATCAAAGTTCTCTATACACCACATCACCAAATACTCCTCATCATGTCATTCTTGTACAGATAAAACTTTAAGCCCCCATTTGGTCACAATTTTTCACCCCAACAAATAAATTTTTTGACTGTTATTTCACTATTTCAACCGTCATTTTTATTTCTCCACTCACAGATAGGACCCACACTTCTCTCTAATGGTCAAAAAATCAATTCTCACAATCACATTACCCAACAGGCCCTAAATGTGCGAAAAACGCTTTTGAGTGAAGCTAAATTTGTACAAATGTAGCTGGACTTTAATATAAGAAACCTACTTCCAAGCGTACGAAATAATACTTCGTAAGTGCATATTACATAAAAATTAGATTTCTATGCCTCTAACACATAACTGTACTTACCTTGTTCTCTTATCTTAATAAAGCTAAAAATAAACCAATTATCAAGAACAAACATCCTATTCAAGATGGATCGAATGGCCAGCTGTAAAATGTGTGAAGCAGTCTTACCAATGACTTCAGTAATTGACATCGTAACACAAAAGAATTAAATCATATAAGTATTACACAGATTTTCGTCATCATCTACACTTCTTGAAGCGTCAACCTGCTAAACAGACAAGACTATGGTGACAAAGTCTAGTAAGTAAAGGAAGCAGATGTGAACGTCGTAAAAGTCAAACTTTTTTGTCAATTTTTTTTTCACGATGGACCTCATATCATGAGAGTATTCTGACAATCTTCTGTAAAATTTTCTTCTGTACAAATGGATTAATCCAAGTATTAAACATGTTGATAAAATATATTTAATATGTTACACAGGCATATATTGATAATATTTAAAAAAAATAAATTTGGTACATGAAAATGAATCATTATGTTAACATGTAACAAACGCGTCATTATGTAATGTTATATGTTCACATCATGTTATGCTTATATAATAAATTCAATCCACATGCAATATTCTAGAGATTGTCATACGAAAAATTACTAGAGTGAAATACTTTTTGAATTTTTCTTCAGAAAACATTTCAAGGACGAGAGCGAAAACACCACTTAAAACTAAAATTGACTTGACTTGAATGATGTAGTAAATTATTTACATTGTTTTGTGTAACGGTGGAGTTGAGATTTTTACATAGGGATGAAAAAATGTTGAAGGAACAAAAAATATCTATATTATGTTTATTTTATAAATTTATTAATGTTTTTATACAATCACCAAAAAAAAAAAAAAAAAAAAAGGAAAAAAAT